GGAAGAACGGCTTCTACTGTACTATTTTACATGCGATTTTTTGTTACGTTTAGTCTTCATTAAGTACTTAAGTGTATTAAATTAATAACATTTCAGACATTGTTATAAATATTTTTATATATTTCGATTTTAAAAATGTTCGAACCGTTTTAAATTCAAATTTTTTATTGCATATTGGTTAGATTATAGAACGGTTGTAAACGTTCCAGAAAATTGATCAAATTGAAAATAGTTTGTTTGATTCTCGGCAATTCTCATCATTCTCGGCGGTAGGTGTTATATAACAATTACTATGGTTGTTGAAATACTGAATATAAATGGGGTTTGCTTGCAAAACCTCCGCGGGCGAAGTCGCGTGTAACAGCTAGTATTCTAATAAGATTCATAATACAATTTATCCAATTTTGTTTTTTTAATATTTTAATTTGGTTGTAAATATTTAAAACTTTTTTATTTTCAGTATGTTATTTTTCTTATTCAAGATTTAAATGTTTACTTTTATTGAAATTAATATTAACTTTATGATGTAAAATCAAAGTACCGACGTTATCCATTATACCAATAAACATCTTTTAATCTCGGAGTGACGCAAATATATATTATTTTAAAGTTCGTATCAGAAAATCTTTGATGAAACTTTATTGAAAACAAAACTAAAATATAAACAACTAAAAAAATACTTAGAATTTCAATGTTCTATGTTCAACAAGTGGTTGCTACGTCAATCAAATAACATACAAACTATAGATTCGAATTTATCTGCCACGTGTTTATCCAAATATCTCATTTAAAAACTGAACTCCGACCTTTAATAGCACATCAAATGCTCTATTCAAAATCATTATTAATTTTTTAAACGTTAATATCCTTTATTTTGAATTTAAAAAATCAATAAATTAACTCCATTAAAGTAACTAATGACTGATAAATTTAACAAAATAAAAAAGTGTTATCAAAAATTAATTATTACTAGAATCTATTTATTATGAATAATTCTTAAAATAATATGTAAATTTTAATAATTTTCGCGTAAAACACTTTAAAATTGCTTTTATAAACAAGAAGTTGTTAGTTTATAATAATTTAAAAGCATTATTATGAATAGTAATTACTAGATTCTTACTTAGACAATACAGTCAAATCAATCAAAATTAATAGTAAAATATTACTATAGAAATAAATTAACATTAATAACATGTATTATTCTTAAATATTAATATTTTTTCTTTAAAAATACGTAATCAAAGTACTTTAAGCCGAAATTTTTATTCCAAGAACTAAGAGCTTTTTGATATAAAGAAATGTCAGTAAAAGTGTAAAAATTATCTAACTTTTATAAGAAATATGTACAAAGTTTACCATTTAAGTGTTGATTTTTAAATTAAACTTTTTTAAAAAAAGTTATAAATCTGATAAATAAGTATCAATCGTCAATTTAGAACGAAAAATATGTAACAATCTTATACAAAGTGTTGCCTATTTTGAAAAATTCTCTTCTATTAAGCACGTAAGTGTATTTATGTAAATAATATAAAACTAAAATGTTAAATTAAAAACTAGCTGATTTATAATTATGATAAATTCATTTTTATTTTAGAAAGATCCTAACCGACAGTAAAAAAAAAGAAAAAAAATTGTTTGGACATTAACCGAAAATATTATCTGTATCGAATTTTTATCAAATTGGATGTTATCTAAAGTATTTTTATCAATAATTTTTTCTTCTTTTTTTATATCTCGGATGATGTTATATCGCTATTTATGATATTAAATTCGACCTGCAATTATCAAATGTATTTGGATAAATTTAGAATGTTTAAATTAAGATAAATTTAATTAAATCTTTGTAAATTTATAAATTTATATACATTTAAAAACTTTATTATAAAAGAATCGTTGGAATTTTTTTTTCTTTTTTTTTCTAATTGAAAAGTTATAATTATTTGTAGTAATAATATTATAAAGTAACTTTTATATCAAAGTTTTCTTGTTACAGTAAAATAATCCGTTAAAATAATATTTTATATATATTATAAACATAAAGAAATTAGTTAAAATTTTATACATTAAAAAATTATAGACTACATATAATATATTATTATAAGAAATAATGCATAGTATAATGTACAATAAACATAAACTTTGTGTAAGTGTATGTTATAAGTAAAAACAGATATATAAGTATAATTTTTCTTCAAATAAAAAAAATATTTTAAACTTAGAATATAAATTTAAAAATTAGAATATATGATATTATAAATTAATTTATAATTATATCATTAACTGATGTAATGATTAAAGCTCAGCTTAGTATTCCAAATAGCGATCTGAGCTGTAGTGTATTGCAGCAAAGACCATTTTTTAAACTTACAGTTAGATTGCCTCTGTAATAATAACGGAATGAGAACATTCAAATAAAATTTACTTGAGCATTAACAATTTTTAATTAATAAGCTAAGAATTACGGAAAAAAACTCAGAAAATATAAAATAACGAGAAAAAATAGGAAGAGACTAAAGGAAAAACAGTACATACGTAATCGCCAAATTTCATATAAATGAAAAGAGAGTCTCTACCTGAGATTAGACTGAGGTTTAAGAAAGTTTTATATTTGTTTATACTAAACATATTCATTAATAACATTATACAGGAAAGTTATACTATGGTAACACTGCATTATAGTAGTAGCATAAGGAAAAGCAGTACTTGAAACGCGGGCCAAAAGAGTTTGGTGAAGAAATTTACCTGGAGCTGGGCTATCTACGATACTAGACTCAGAGCTGATCGTTAAAATCATGAGCTTCAGCTCAGCTTATTTGGTAAAACTCTAGTAATGGACTTTAAAATAAAAACAATTAGATTAACTCATATTAAATCTAATTAGTCTATTATTAAACTAGTATATTTTGAGATATACATAAATAAATTTTAAATTTACACTGATTGTGTTTATTTATTAACATTTACTGTATGTTTGCANTGAAAATTCAAAAATTACCTTCAAACACACCCCAATTAATTCACATAATATTTACCATCTCGAATTCGAACCGTTTACCTTTACAAATGACTATACAGATCATTCATCGAATTACATTAGAGACAAGATTCCTTTATATGAAGAAGAGCATATGCATCATGTATGTTCGATTTATCATAACATTTATATACGTATATATATTTCTTATTAATATACTTTATAATTTAACTTATATTTGACAATTTTATTATAGAATGAGCATAATTTTACTAATCAGTATCTTGGAATTGGTGCCAGAACTAAAGTTGCATATAATGATATCTGGAATGATTATGGTTCATGGTATGATTTCTTAACCAAAACAGATTTTCGACAGAAATTTTATTATTATTTTGGAAATCCACATTTTCATCCTTATAATTTTGATTTCTTCGTCGAAAAGTTGCCTGAAGATAAGGTAAATGAGGTAAGTTTTTAAGAAAGACCATGATATAAGAATCCTTATAGATAACATTTGATGTTTTCTAAGTCATTTTAAAATATTTCATAAATTGCAATAGCAAAAACAAGAATTAATAAATGTAATAATTGCACAATTTTTTTAAAAAATATAAATAAAATTATGATAAAATTGATAAGAGAGCAATTACGATATAGATAATCGTGTCAATTGAGTTTGTGATGTCTAGACTATTCCGTCTGACCTATAACATAACTTTGCATGACATATCTGAAGTGGAAGCTAACATATCATTGAACAGTTCAAAGATTATTTAATTAATTCATCCAATCATTGATTACTTCGATAAAAGATACGGCCATTCGATTTTCTATATAAGTTCAGAATCATACCATGGTCTTAACTGTTCATAAGCAGTAACCATGCGGCTTCTTTTTCTAGCGATTTGTTTTGTGGCAGCTTTTGGTAAGTATACTAAAGAAACGAATTAAGTATATATAAAGATCTTTCGAAAAGTTTCAATATACATTCATTTAAAAAAATAATAATAATAATAAATTTATATTATGTAACTCTTTAACAGCTAGGACACCACATCATCAAAGTGGTCCCGGTAAGAAATTTACACTTGACCAATTGAAAAATAAGTTAAAACAATATTTAATTTAAAATTTTATATTCTGTTAGGTTATTTACCGGATCGTTTATATCGTTATCGTTATTTGTCTACTTTATATTTGGGATTTTCGGGATTAAAACCTGAATATGAAGGCAAATCTCTAAGAGTCGACGTTGTTATACAGCGTCAATCTGATTACTATGTAATCAAGGTACATAATTGAATTTCTCTTTTACAAGTATAAAATATAATTTAAAATGCATTAAAAAAAGAAAAGTATTAATTTTTAAATATTCAATTTAGTTTGAACATCCTGAACTTGCAACAGCTAAGAAAGTACGTAATATAGAAGATTACCATTATGAATATCATGCTTCACCAGAATTCGAAAAACTCATATCAAAACCATTTAGAGTTATTTATTCGGATGGACAGGTAATTTATTGTTAATATTATCTTCATATATATATTTATATATTATTTAAATTTACTAATTGATTATATATTTTTTAGTTATCCCATTACGACGTGAGTAGTGAAGAACCCGAATTTGCTTTAAATCTGAAAAGAGGTCTTCTTCACGTTCTAAATCTGAATTTAGAACAAAAGGATGCTTTTCATTATCAAAGAGGTGATTACCTGCATCGTCCGGATCCTCAAGCTGCATATTATGCTGTTTTAGAGGTACTGTGTTTTTAAAAAAACTCTTTCTTTTTTGAAAAATTTAAATTTTATCCGAAAAAATCCTTTATTTTTTCCTTTTTTTACTAGGACGGAAAAGGTGGAAAATGCGAAACCGCATACGTTATTCATACAGAACCATACTATCGTACACCCTATTATAACAGCGTATTGAATGTTACTAAAACCAGAAATTACGAGAACTGCTTAGAGGATCCTTATGATGATTACAACTCTCTGCATGGAAGACATTGTGAAGATTGTGAAGAAGAAAAACATGTAATTTTATTTATGTTATTATTTGTTATTCTTGTTCTCAAGAAAAATTTTATCATCATTATAATTGAAACATTACGCTTCAAAAAAAACTTAATTAATTTAATTATTTTAGCATCCAATTCATGTAAACTCCCATTATTATTATAATCTCCGAGGAGATAGACATAGTTATATCATAGAACACGTTTTCGCTGAAGGAGAAACAACTTATGTACCATATACAACTCATGGACAAACTGCTTTTGTTTATGAAAAGTAAGACACAATTTTCTATTAATTCTTGAATTATTTTCTCTAGAAAAATATAAACTAAATTATTTATTATTATTATTTTTCAGCCGTACGTTAGATCTTGTTGAAGAAACTGAATCAACTGAAATTATACATTTGCCTGGTGATCTCGTTTCGTATTACAAATTGGATTTCACTCATGGTCATTATCAACATAAATTCGATGAAGCAATCGATTTGAAGGAAGCTCATTTTTATCGTGATATTTATCCATTTGATTTAAAAGTTGAAAAAGTAGGTTTAAAACAGATTGAAATTCTTTTTATAACACAATTCCCATTTATTCGTAGTCGATAATATGATGTATTTACAATACTTTCAGGCTGCGAAACTTATGGATGAGTTGATTTCGTTTTATCAGCATGTTGATACTGCTACTGATCTTCATAAAAACTTGCCAATTGATTTCCTTAGATTAATTGGATACTTTTCTTATTATAATTACGACCATTTTCAGGAATTCTATGAAAAATATGTAGAAGGAAAAGCTGAAGCATATAAGTTAGTTTACTTTAATTAATAAATTTTAAAAGTTTAATTTACTCAATTAATAATTTTATTTTCTTAATCGATTAGGCATTTATTTTATGATGCTTTAGCCAATGTTGGTACAAATCCTTCGATTTTATATGGAATTCATCTCATAGAAGAAGAACGTGTTCCAATAGATGTTGCTAAGCAATTTATTCAAACTGTTGTTTATCATATTAAAGAACCCAGTGAAAAACTCTTTGATGTTCTTTTCGTAAGTTAATTTTGCATAATTTTTTAAATAAATATACAAAGTGTAGAAAAACTTTAATTTTAATTTTTCAAAACAGCGATTGTGTGATCACTCCTCTGTTAGAAGGAGAAACGATGTCCAGACAGCTTGTTACCTTGCATTCAGTGGATTAGTTTATGAAACGTGTGTTAAAGTACATCATCATCATTACGAAGAAAGAAATCACGAATATCATCATGATGATGATCATAGTCGCGATCATGATTACGGACACGATCATGCTTCTCGAGCTTCTCGATTGCGAAGAGATAGTCATCACTGCACAGAAGAAACAGCCAGAAAGTATCTTGATGTAAGAAATATGTTCTAATCAAAGTAGTAAATTTATTTCAAAAATATCTAAAATAATAATTTCCAATTTTATTATATTTTTTATATAGTATTTTGTTAGTCAATACCACCATCACGATAATGATTATTACGAAATTGCCTTCATCAAAGTACTAGGAAATAGTGGATTGAGAGATGCCATTCGATATCTTAGACCCTACATTTTAGATGTAGAAAAACCTCTGTATTATCGAGTTACTGCAATGTGGGCTTTGCGTAGAATAACATATACAAGTCCAGAAGAAATATTAGAAATTGTATTGCCAATTTATGCCAATACTAGTGAAGATTATGAATTAAGAATTGCAGCTTTCTCAATTGGTCTTAAAGCGCACCCAAGCGAATATCTAGTAGAAACCATTGCATACAACTTATATTCTGAGCCTAGCGATTATGTTTCAACTTTCATTTACAGTACCTTCTACTTCTATGCTAATTCTACTCACCCTTGCTACAGAAGATTGTACGTATAATAAGGCATATTTAAAAAAAAATCATTCTCTGCTGTAAACTAATTTATAACATATTTTAACAGGGCTAAATTATCTCGAATTGCTCTTGAGATCTTGAGCGATCACGAGCCATACACTCATTACGATTTTGATCATGCTTATAACTTCTTTTCTTCAGGATACGAAGGTAAAATCTATTTAAAAAATTACATATTATTTAATTTTGATGATATAATGACTATATTGTGGCCATGACTACGATGACAACATTAAATAAATCAGAGTTTCAAGCATTTATAATCCTATATTGTATTGATACTGTTGCATAGAATTTCCAGATATATACTGGGAAATAAATAATAATAATAATTTCTTGGCGNTTGATGATATAAAATTTCATAAGATTCATCAAATATTATTTAGACGAGTATTTCGTATCGTTATATATTTGTTCATATAATGTCTTTTTTTTTTTTATGTTTAAACTTATCTTAGAAATAAATGTTTTATATATATTCTTAATTTTGATTCCTTTATATTCACTTCATTTTAGAAAGATACGATTACGGAGGATTTACGCAGTTTGCTTATATTCCAAGCAATTCTAGTTACATACCTCGCAAATTATATCTTCACTTGAACGATTACGTGGGAGGAGAATCTTTCGATACTGTAGCTTTTGGCTTTCATTCTTATGGTCTTGAAAGATATTATGATCGTCTTTTTGGACCCAAAGGTCCTTTAAAAGATAGCACCTTCAGCAACTTCTTTGGGAGAAGATCACCTCGTGATACCAATCCCGTTAAACAGGAAATGGAAGACATTGATCAAAAGGTGTTTTTTTTTAATTCTTATATTAAATTTATTAGAATTGTTATTTCCATATATTTAAAAAATTTTTTTTAAATATCATAAATTTTTATTTTCAGTTGAATCTTCATCACAGACAATACGGACCTGCATACGGAAATGTATTTTTTAAGCTATTTGGTACAGAAATCGAATTTTTCCATTTTAACGAATCTATTATAGAGCATTTTCTTAAAGAAGGTTGGTAATTTATATTATTTTTATTTAAAATATATTTTCAAACGTGTTCAGATTTAATGTTATAATGTTATATTTTATCCAGATTTAATGTCATTATTAAAACACGAAGACGATCATCATCCTTTCCTGTACCGACACTTCACGGTTGGATCAGACAAGACCTACGTATTTTCAACTGAGACTGGTTTACCTTTGATATATGAAGTGAAACAACCCGTTTACCTACATTATCATAATAATGAATTCAAAGTAGAACTTACACCCGAACCAGAAAATAAAGGCCTTTATTTCCCCAAACAAGTTAAAGTTCATCTTGATGGGCATTTTATGTGAGTTTCTTTATTTTTTTATTTTTATAAATAAATGTACATGTATTCATAACAGACTTAATTTTATAATTAAAAAAATATATCTGGTAATTACTTCATATATTTCAGATACGATCAAACTGTTGAATTCCTACTTGAAGTAGCATTACCTTTCTCGAAATCTGCCATTTCTGTAGGATCACGTCTACGCACAGCGTTAAACGTTCCATTAAAATTTGATTTGATAGCAGATTTAGAACATCACAAATTTGTCTACAAACACGTCCCAGTAATCCCTCATGAAGTATTTCAATCTTATTTCATACCGAACATAGGATTTGAACATATCTATGATGAAGATTTGACTGAAGTAAGAAAGTTTTTCAAAGTTTCATTAATAAATTCAGTAGATAACTTCCTATTTAAATTATATACTTAAATATTTTACAGGTAGAAGAAGATTATTTCCAAGATTGTCTAGGATTAGGATATAGAGTCAATGCCAAATACCATAACATTTGGAATGATCGTGGATCCTGGAAGAGTTTCTTCACAGATTTAGATTTTCGCCAGAAACTATATTATTACGTTTTCCAACCTCATTTCAATCCACATTATTTCAACGTGACTTTAATCGGAGCTGATACAGATGCTACTACAGAAGTAAGAGGAGTGTAATTTGTTACATTTTATAGTTTATTTTTACTATAATTTTATACTAATAATATAAAACTTTTACAGTTGGAAGCAAGCTTTAATTATGATTACTATGATGATACAGATAAAGACAATCGACCAACTAAATCTGAACACTTCGAAGAAGAATTAGGTGATTTTAGCAGTGATGAAAAATGGTATACTTATGTTATGCATGGAGAACTTCATGGTAAAGGTCAACGTGAACGCAAAATATCAACAGAGTTAATCTATCATCGAAGTTACGATTCTCTTGATCACAAATATCACTTTTATTACGATAGAACACCATTCCACTCTTCCGAAACGGAACATTTCAAGGTAAATAAATGATTTAATTTATATTAATAAACAACGTGAAAAATGTAAACTATTTAATCATAATAAATTTTCAATTTAGATCTGTTCCGCTGGTTACGTTAAATATCCTCATTATGATCTACACAAATTTTTCAACTTAGAAACTCAAGAGCTGGATTATTCTGTTAATGCACAAACTAACGTTTATTTTGGAAAAGATTGTAAGAGTGACAAAAAAGTAAGTAAATTTAATTTCTTCGCTAAAACTTTATGTAAATGACAGTTAATTATTGAAAATTTATCTCATGTCAATCTTTCTTTTATTACAGATTAGTGTACGCGGACATTTTGATAGAACAGAGGAACAAAGAAATCACGAAGCAAGAAGAGAAGAACCTGTAACTTACGAACGATTTAACGAGTACGCTTATTATTATCAAAAATGCAAAGAAGAAAGAGAACATGGACATTTCTATCATAGATATTGTGTGCATTATCTGCATCTTATTTCCGAATTACATCATTATAATTTTGAAATCACTTATGAAAACGTAAGTTACATATTTGGTTATGTAAAGAATCGAATAGTATGCAATTAGTATGGAAATGTTTACTAATGTTAATATATTTATTATAACAGCTTCCAGAATATTTTCGTAATTTTACCTACAAGGCAGCATCGTGCTTTAAACATCACTATTATACTCACGCAGATACTGATATTTTCGCAACGAATCCAGACAGCCAAGTACGCGTTGATTTAAATGTATCATTACACGATCCTGTAGTTGATGTTCGAATTTACAAACCCCACGAAACTACTTATTACACTCACATATATGTTCCTACTCTTCATCCTCTGGATACTTATCCATCTTCTGATAATAGACACTTACAAAATTATTACGGAATATTTGAATATCGTAAGTGTTCAAACGAATGAAATGTAGTTTTTTTTAACAGATTGTATTATATTGATTATTCTGTTATTGATTATAAATTTTTAAATTTTGTTTAGCTTTCTGCTTGATTCAGAAAGACGAAGTGAGAACATTTGACAATGTTACTTATACATTACCACCCATCGATTGTTATAAGGTTATTGCTAAGGATTGTTCTCCAACTGAACATTTCTTGGTGTTAGGAAAGAAAGTTGGTGATCAAAAGGTAAGATTTCTTTAAATATATACAGCAAAAACAGTCAAATATATGAAAAGTACAATTATAAATGTGATTTCTTATTATAATTTACAGGAAGTTATTGTGTATTTCGGTAAATATAAAGTTCAAGGCGTTCCATCAGGATCATCCATCGTTGTTAATGTAAACGATAAACAAATTACCGTAACAGAAAATGAACCTTATTATCAATATATAACGGAAGGTGATTACAAAGTAACTGTATTTAGCATTACTTATAACGGTCATCACTACACATTACAATCTACTCCATATCGCTTCGAAGTGGATTACGATGGAAAAGTCATCCAGATTCAGGTATAATAATGCTTCTGTGAATTTGTATATAGAATGTTTTTTTTTTTTAGATTTATAAAATAAAATATATATTATTTTTCGTAGTTTACATCACCATATTACCGTGGAAAACTCTGTGGTTTGTGTGGTGATAACAATGGTGATAGTCAATACGAATTCCGCGGTCCAGAAGGTTACGATTATCACGATACAGCAGCTTTCGGATATAGTTACACACTTGCGGATGATCAATGTAAAGTTCCGGATTACGATCATCCCAGACGTTACCATGGTATGTAGATAGATTTGAATTATCGTTCTTCCTTCGAGTCAGGTCTTTAATGAGGATTTTTCTTGTAGGAGTCGAAAGATGTACCGAATATAGGAACCGTCACATCTTTTACGGAAGTAAAAACAGGAGGAGTTGTTTCACTACCCATCCTTTGCCTAGGTGTGCCGAAGGATGTGTACCAACTCGTTACGTAAAACGTAGCGAATCTTTCCACTGTTTGTCAGCAAAGGAAAGTTATTCCCGTTACTTGCTTCAAGAATCCGAAAATCGGGTGTTGGATGAAGTAAGACGTAAAGAAACGGATCATTATGCCGAAGTAGAGTATCCTGAAAGCTGCGAGCTTAAGGAGCATTAAAGTTTTGCATCAAAGAATAGTTATCAGAATGTTACATGATTTTTAAAAAAATATTTTGTAAATAATATTCATGCATTTTTTTGCATTTAATTTTTAAGATTCACGGATTGAAAAATGTAAATAAAAATTTTTCAGCTGTCTCAAATAAACATACGTAAGAAAAATACATATATTGTGTTTTTTTAGGTCTTTAATTATATGAGAATACATTAAATTAACGATGAATATTTTCGAGAAAAATAATTGAAAAAGCGGAATAAAAATATTACATTCTTCACAGAAACATTATGAGATATGAATCGTTTTGTTGTGTTTACTCTGTAAACATGAAAAATAAAGGATTTAAAAGGATGAAAAAAAGGATTTAAAATAATAAAGATTGTTGTAAATCATTTTTTATTATTATTTTTATATCACGAATACTCAATAAAGCTCCATTACTGTTAGAAGATTCTTTCCTGGAGTTATAAGGAATTCACACACAGAGAGAGACGACGTCCTTTATATTTTAGTAGTAATTCAACAAAACTTAAAAATTAAACTTTCTTAAATTTTAAAAGATTAAAAAATAATGTAAACATACAGAATAAAATTATCTTATCGTTAGTCTTTGTTAAGATTATTGAATAACATACAAATAAATAAAAATTAATATAAAATTTAAATAAAGATAAAGTGTTTATAGCTTATCAATATATGATAAAATATAAAAAATAGCCGTCTATTTCTTATCAAATGTTGATTTTATAACTGTTTGTTGTTTAAATTAAACCTTTTAACTGTTGTTATTGTTTTTTTTATTATATCAAAGTTATTTCGTTAATTTTTAAAATAAAAATGATTTATGGTATACATTTTTCATGAATAGTAGTTAATAGTAAATATCCAAACAAATGTTTACTATTATATAGTATTGTGATCGATCAAAAAATGACCTTCGAAGACTTTTACATTTTTGTACTCAGGGGGCCTTAATACTTAAAGAAATGTATAAAATTTCGGAGGGTTTTCTGTACGTATGGATGTTAGTGTGTATGGAGGGAATACGATTTTGTTCACCCTATTGGAAGCTTAATAACTCCTGTGCTTTTTATCGAAAATTTTTGAAATTTTAAGGGAGGTTTGTTTATTAGGGTAGAGCAATGCTATTAAATTTTGGTGGTTAAAGATCGACGGAGTGAGGATATAAAAGGGGTCATGTCATATCAAGAGTAGGGTCGGACTTAATGACGATTTTGCTTGTTATTAGCATTTATAATTTTGTTATAAAATCCATTCCTACCCTCAAGACTAAGCTCTTTGCCATTTTATGATAGACTATATATATAATTTTTAATTATATATTTAATTATCATAAAAAAATGGCACCACACTCAGAGTTTTAAAAGTTTTCAGGAAAGTTAAGCAAGTCGTTGCTGGATTTAAAATGTATTTTAAAAATCTTCGTAATATAAGAAAATTAATAAACATAATTGTAACGAATAACTATATTTCATGTCTTCAAAAAAAGTTTTAGAAGTAATTGGCAAGAAATATTTCGAATTATTGATGAAGTGTGTTTGAGATTGATAAAAGAAAACGAAGATCTTTAACCTTTTTACAGTTTGATAATTAATAATTAAAATTTTATACAATAATAAAATTAAATTAATTTAAAAATATATTTAATCTACCTGCATTTTTCATCTTTTCCTTAATGTTTAACAGATTACGTTGAATATGTAATGCTTGCCTGTCCAATAAGTCTAATATTCTGTCACTATAACATGCATAATTTTTTAACATGCTTCAAAATCTTAATTTTGAAATGTCCATTTTGTAGTATTTTCGAATTTAATTATCATTAATTAATTACACTTCAATGAAAAAAGAAAGAGCTCTGAACCTTAGAGATAAGCCAAATAGAATATAACGACTTTATTCGGATGCAATTTGAAAAAAATTTGTAGCCCAATTGCTCGTATTATTTTACATTATTTTTCGATAATTTTATACTTTGATATTAAATATATTATTTGTTTAATGTTGCTTGTTTTTAACGTCGGAAATTATATTTTATTAAATGTCAAGTTTCTGAATTTTCATAAAATCTGTATAGCATTATTTGTAAAGGCGTATGAAAAGAACTTGATGAAGAATGATTTCTATCGTTAAATACTCATTTTTTTAATAAACAAAACTTCTTGCACCCCCAGTATTTTTCGTGAAAGCATGCTGACCTGTAGTTTTCGTAGGATAAATTCTTTTCTAATGGAAGATCTTGCAATGTTTGATAATACACAATTGTATTTTGAACAACAAAAAGTAAAATAGCACACATTGATACTTACTTCTAAATGAAATAAAATTTTGATGATATAATGACTATATTGTGGCCATGACTACGATGACAACATTAAATAAATCAGAGTTTCAAGCATTTATAATCCTATATTGTATTGATACTGTTGCATAGAATTTCCAGATATATACTGGGAAATAAATAATAATAATAATTTCTTGGCGTCCTCTCTATTAAAGTGTTCTGGGCCTCACTATGGAAGCTTGCTTCATAGTTTGAGAATCACTGTTCTGTCCCAAATAATCACATTGTTAGCCATTGTAGACTCGTGTCAAATTAATTTAGTCAATGATCAGCTATTTGTATATGAAACCATAAATATTTCGCTTTAAACAATCGTTCTCATCTATATTTATTGTTCCAATGTTGATCATTTCCATTTTTATTAAGCAAAAGTGAAAGCCTATATAGTTTACCTGTGCTAGTAAATCTCATTGTAACTTCCAAATTAAAGGAATTAGGGAAAAATGATTAATTATCAATAAAAACAATAAGTTTCTTCTCTATTTGACATAAAAAGAAAAGACTTCTTTATTACATTTCATAAAAAATTTATTATAAAGAAAGTAATTCAATATATATTTATATATTACATTTCAAAGATATATTGTCTTTCACCAATCTTCGTCTTTTGTTCCTTGATTTATATCGATTCAGTTAAAAATTTTTTAATAGTACAAAGATTACAACTAACTTAAATAAGTAAATATTAAAAAATAAAAGTTTATTTTGACTAGAGATGCTTCGTTTCTTATAAAATGTTCAAATTAGTTAACGCGAAGAGATCAATTTGTGTTCTAAAAATGATTATATTAGTCTATTTGGTGAATGGAACGAAGTGTTCCTACTCTTCCTCCGCTTCCAAAAAATGATAAACGACTCTGAGACGGAGATACGGGTTCTTCTCTATCTACAGTTCTTCTGTTGAGCACTATACAAGTCACACACACTGCAAGTATCCCTATTTGTACACTAATTGCAGCTATAATGGCAACTACCATTATTGTCTTCGTAGTACACACTTTTTCATTGTCTAACTCTGAAAATAAAATTATACAATTTTTATGTGCTACTTTGAAATTATCAGAACATGAAATTATACAATAATTTACAGCTTATAATTTAATAATTACTTTTTAAATAATATTAATTAATTTGAAACAAAATTGAGAATTTAATTTAAAAAATATATATACAGTATATACTAATACACCTATTCCTCACTTAACGACTTTAATTCGTTTCTGTAAGGTCTGTCCCAACGAAAAAACTCGTTAAACGAATAAACAAATCCTATTAATTTCAATGGGAAATATTGTAATAATAAAGGAGAACGAGGGAATAACTTTCTAGAAAGTTGTATAGAGTCAAGTGACCTTTAATTAGCGAGCCCACAATGAGGTAGCCAGAAGACCAACAACTCGGAAACAGACCAACCCCAAAATTGATAAAACCGTTGTAACAAAAAATTGTTAAGCAAGGGATAGGCGTATTGTACTTCCAGCCTTTATTCTATGAGAGAGAATCCTACAAAATTACGAATATTTATAAAATTAAATTATAACTACGCTGCACAAGACAAGGTAGAAGTTCAAATGTTTTTCATATCTAATTTGCATAAGATTTATAACTCTATAAACCAATATTTCCTTCTAAAAAGTGTTATAGTAATAGTCAGTAGAAATTTAGATGAATTGTTCACTCTATATTTTCATTCATTCACTCACATGGCATCCTCTTTACAGAGGATTTCAGTTGATGGACAGCATATGCTGTTTTTCTTCTCTGGATGCTGACCATCCATTCCAAATCTACTCATAACCTCCTCATAGGTTATTCTATCTATCCAACTAATTCTTTCCATTCTTCTAAGACACCATATCTCAAAAGGAATTTATCTCATTAACTGCCTCTTGGCTTATTGTCCATGACTCGCATCGGTATGTAGCCACACTCTAAATCATTGTTTTAAGTATTTTTAGTTTCAATTTTTTGCATACATTTCTATCGCTTTAGCAGCAGCTTTAGCCTTTTTATAATTCTGTTTTTAATTTCATAATACTCTATACAAAATATACTGTATATTAAAAAGTTGTAATAAGATTCATCATAAATAATTACAATATATTATAATACTCCTATATAGAAATTATTTTTAGAAGTTATTGAAATATTGTGATAACTTAATTGAAATTCTTTAATTAAAAACTATATTCATTTAAATATTTTTATGTAATTTCGAAAAAGTACAATAAGTCTACCATAAACATTACCATCATCTGAATTTGGGGAATCTGTAAGTCTCGTAACTGTTATTCCTTCGACTATAATTTCACGTTGCAAAGGATAATCATTCAAAACTGGTGAAGAAGTCACTCCAGTAATCTGTCTCTTTTTTCGTTTTCCGTATGAACTAACACCGTCTGAACATGCAATAGGTTCACATTCTTCTAGACAGAAGTGGATGCTTACACGAAATCTAACAACAACATCATCCGGAAATTTGAAAGCATCGAATCTTCCTTGTAAAGCCCTAGTTCCAGGAACTTTCTCCAATGGAGGGAAGAGCCCTAGTTCCAGGAACTTTCTCCAATGGAGGGAAGATATTCGTGTCTGTAGGACACCTAAAAACATTTGATAATTAAATTCTTGGTGTTTAGAATTTTTGCAATACTCTGCAGCAACATTATAAGTACACTTCACATAATATTGCTGCAGAGTATTGCATATACTAAAAGTTGAAATAAAAACATGCAACACTTACCCTCTGCTATCGATTAATGTTATAAATTCATCGGTTTTCCCACTAGTTGCGACTAAATCTCGAGCAAATATACCGAATACGCCTAAAATTACGTAAGAAAATTTATGGTTAAAACTTTAAAATTTAATTAATCAAAACAACTAAATTACTTACTATCGTCATCAATTTCTATTCTGAGATATAATTCCTCTCCGACTCTAGCACCACTAATGTCTAAACCATTTCTATCCGTGATCCTGAGACGAATCTGTGGTGAAGGTGCTGTAGCATTGACTACTCCTGTAGCTGTACCTTCATCACTAAAAATTTAAATCATGCAATAAACTATCTTTTAAATATATATTCTATATTTTAAAAGTTTTGCAAACTTTCATTTAATTCATATCTCAGCATAAACAATGTACAGTACAGGTAAATGTGATATAATGAATGATTGTTTAGATATTTTTTGGAATTTACCAACACTATAATGATTGTATAAAATTCAATAAAATTCGGGGTTTATATTTTCTAGCGTGTGTATACGTTACGTTTATACTAACTTTTACGTTAACCGTGTATACGTTGTATGTTAATTGTGAGGCTTATGTGAAGAATCTACGTGGGCAGATGAAACTCCTTTATATGTTATGTATAAGACTAAACAGTTAAAATCGCCATTAACTAAAATACACCTTTCCTATCTTTTCTGCCACTCCCCGAATACATGTAAGAAGCCATCGTCGATGTTCTTCAAAATCGCGTTTGCCTTCTGTGGTTGGAAAACATTGTCCACGTAAGGATTTCTTCAATTACAGAAGTAACAAAGTTATATGGTAAAAGATGGGAACTGTATAGCGTATATGGAAGAAATTTCATGTTAATTTTTGACAACTACTCGACGACAGGCATTATCCATCACGATAATGCCCGTTCTCATATAGGGCCATATGAGAACGGGCATTATCGTGATGGATTATCCATTATCCATTTGATCTTATGCAAATGTGGTCGCTTCCTGCAGATGTGTTCATTCAATTTTTTGACGGTATTCACGTAACAGGCGCCTGTAACAGTTCTTTGAGATGGTATAACATGAAGGTACACCGTACCTTGAAGATCGAAAAATATGATAATCGTGGTTTTGCCAGCGGTTGGGACAACTCTGGCCTTTTTGGGGAGTTGGGGATGATGGCGATTGCCATATTGAACTGTTTTGCTTTGATTTAGCCCAGTACATAAATCTAGATTTTGCATAATATTGTAGAGTTGTATTGTTGTAATGTTAAAATAAAATACATAGTTTTTCCTCGAAATTATCAGTAAACAAATAGATGAATACGTACTATATATATATTCCATATATTTTAAATTTATATGTCTATTCTAGGAAAATATAATTTTACCTGATGATAACGTTGTACGAATTACTAACTGTATGATTCAGAGTTTCAAAAATGCATAATAATTTGATAATTCTATCTCCTTTTCTCTGAATTACCGGATGATGTTGAATGACTACTGTGTTTACATAACGGCCTTTTCCCTTAAAAGTAATAATATAAAAGTTTAAAAAACAACAGGACATGTAAAAAATATAAATTTTTAAACACATTATAATTATCTGAATTGAAAAATGTTAGTTCTTCAAGTATCATAATGTTACAAAGCAAGAAAAATTTATTATACTACCTAAATACGATTTGTTTTCTTACTTCGTTTATTGCACCACATTCCGCCGGATCCAAAGGTAATATAAATTGATTTACAGTTTGTCCATTTCCAAAAATTTCACACGTTCTTGGACGATTTTTGGCAAATATACGACCAGTAAATGGTTCCAAAGTAGTGAGAGTTAAAACCATAGCTTCGGGAGAACACGTTAGTTTTACTATAAAATAATAATAATAATAACACTTCGTTTCTTTGTTTTGTTTCGTTTTATTGCTTTTTAATTATAAATCTTCGTTAAAAATTACTCACGATCTAGGCAGTTTGAACGCTGGTAATAAAAAGTTCCTGGTTTTGCCTTGAGTGCTTTATTTCCTGCACTCAACGTATCGTCTCCACTCAACCAGCATAGAGCAGTCGATGGTTGAAATGTGAAAGACCGACACACGAACGTTTCCATTGTATCACACAAAGTTTGACATTGATCAGGACTGAAAGCAGTTCTTTCCAAATCTGCTAATCCCAAATCTACATCTGGATACTGATTGTATTCGCATCCGCTTGCACTATCTACAAAATATAATAAACAGAAATACATTTTCACGCTATTTATTACAATATGTTATCTTTTATTTAATGTTTTTTTTATCATTATAATACGTGTATTTTTTTTTAAATATAATCTGCAAATGTTTGAATGTCTTCGATGAACGAAGCACTCTATTATGTTATGGTTAACTTGTTAAGCTTTCTAAATTTATGAGCCTATCAACTATCTAATTGCAACCGTAAAATCTTATCATGCATTAAGAATAGCACATGTTTTTCATAATTTTAGCATGTATAATACTTACGAGTTACGCATTGATTCTCGAAATAGTCTACATCACCGATTGAAGGGCGGAAGGAAGATGGTTGGGATCGTCTATCTTCGGAACTCAAACGACACTGTTGAAGAACGTAATCATATTCGCCAGAGCGGCAAGGGAAGGAAACTTCTTTTAAACAAAATTCTTCACATTTGATACGACTGGACACTTGTCCAATGACCCGGTCATCGAACCCTGCAAGTTCTCTTCCGATAACTCTTTCGAACATCCAATCTCTTTTGCATCCTTTCGCTGAAGAACAGTAGATATTGCCCATAAATAAATTATTTTTAAAATTATAGAAAATATAGAATTATGACATGCAATTGTATGATCATCAATCTGATATAACGATACCTTTCAAACAAATTTTTTCAAAATAATTAGTAGCATCTTGTGTGCTTGATAACAGTTCCCTTCTACCTTCCGAATTAGTCGTCATTTGATAACAAGTTTTCCTTCCATAATTAATTAAGAATGCTGCACAATCTGATGTTGTTCGGCATTTACTGTTGCATATAATTGTAATAGATTCTTCCCTTCCATTTCCATCGTACATCATATTATGAGAAGAACCTTTGATCGCCTTTCCAGTTATTTTCTCAAAAGTTAACGTTCCGCCTTCACACTGACCTTTATTTTTTGAAAAAAAATTAGACTTTGAGTCCATAAAATATAGGATAAAAAAATTATATATAAGCAATAAGCATTTTTTTCATACTTAATACTAATGATGTCACAAAAAATAATATAATAAAGCCAATTAGAAGCCATCTTGACGTTTGAACATACTTGAATTTGTGGCACATTATAGAAGCACCTATAAATTTAAAAAAAAAATAAATTATAATTAAAATACTAAAGTATATTTATTACCAAATATATAAAAATTTTAACATTTTCTTTATATTTTCATAATTAAAACGTACAATTATACTTTAAAACAATGTTTCAAGTAATAATAATAATCTTTCTTAATAAATAAATATAGATATAAATTAACAGGAAATTTTGATAAATATTTATTTAACATTATAACGTTCAAAAGATAATAAAAATCATTAATAATATCTTATATTCTAGTTAATTATTAAAAATAATGTTACTTTGGACGATAGAAAACTTGATATCTCTTCTACATTAAGTAATTTGACACCATTTTATATCAAGATGATACAAAGATCACAAAGAAGAAGAGAATAAATAAAAAAATTCTTCAGTTTAGAGAAGTGAAAATGCATCGAATTAAAATTTTTCAGATAAATAAATTATCTAGTATTTATTATATAATAAATTTATACTCATTACAATTAAAATAAATAATAATAATTTTTATTAACTGTAATTAAAAATGGAAAATTCGTGTTTTAGAAACAAATTAATATTATAACATTATAATTAATGTAATGAAATTATATACATTTGTAGGACTTTGTATAGTAATAAATCCTATTACTATAAGGAAGTCCTAGTAGATAATAATAATAATAATAATTTATATAATAAAATTTGATCTAACTTAAGAATTACATTTGCAAAATATCAATTGATTATTTAAATTAAGCTGTACTTAATAATAGAAATGTTTTACATACAATTTAATTTGTTCCAGACGAAGAAACGCAAAACCTATTTTTTAAAATATTTTTTTTTTAATTTTAAGACAATTATTTTGTCACCTCAACTGAAGAAACAAAATCTAGTATTAACAACAAAAGGAATGTTCCAATGTCAGATGGATGTTAATGTTCCACATGACATAATTTGCTATTGTTTCTATCCTACAATTATCCTTAGTTTAAAAGAGTATTTGTTATTTTAAAAACATTTTCACATCAGATCAAATTTATAAAAAGTATGTTAACACGGATAACATTTCAAATGAATTTCTTACATGTATGAAAATGTCTTATATCTGTTTTTTTATGTAAAGATATTTGATATAATTTCTATGCTAAATTTCTAGTTCATACTTTTTTCTTTATAGAAAAATATTTATAAGGAATAAGGATTTAATTTATTAAAATATTTTAAAGAATATAACAGAGATTTTTATTCATTTTTAGAACAATAAACAATACATGGATATGTTAATGTTTACTATGTAAATTTATGTGGTAAGTGATGCAATTGCATCACCTCTATCTTTAAGACTTTGAATTTTCTTAAATTCTTATTTAAAATTTTATATTTATTTAAAAATATTTGTCTATTTATTAAACCTTTTAACTGT